GTGGGGGGGTGGGGGTGGACACAAGGGGGAGAGAGGGGACACACTTCTGGAAGCTTCCAGAGGGGTGGGGTTGGGCCCGGGGGGTTGTGGGTGTTGAGGGGGTGGGGGGAACATCCAGCGGCGACACAGAGGTACACACACACACAAATTGCCGAGTGTAACAATGAATGTGACGATGACTGGGGTTTTTAGAATTCAGGATACTCAGGCTCCCGGCCCAAACCCTTGGCTTACACACACACATATACACACACAACCCTGGGTGGGGACTTCATTACATGAATTTCCCTTTCAGTGCGACCACATGATGGCAACAAACTATTTGTTGGCGGACTTACGGCGGCCGTCAACCTGATGGGAAATCATGGGTGACTTCGTGTTGTAGTACTGCTGTACTGCTGTACGGCTGTAATTTCATTCGGAGTACTGTTGGATGTTAGACGGCCGTTATCGGTCATTCCCCCCATCACCACCATCATCACCACCACCACCATCACCACCATCATCACCACCATCACCATCATCATCATCATCATCATCGTCAACACCAACACGCCCACAGGCGACGTGGTGGAGTGGGTCAATGCACAACAAGAGCAGCGATTGCCGTACGACCTTGTTGTACGGCGGACGGACACAGGGGAGGTAGTGTCGTACATTGAGGTCAAGGCCACCAGAAGCTGGGACAAGACCTACTTTGAGGTGTGTGGTGGTGGTGAAGGGGGGTGGTGAATGAGGGGTGACGAATGAGGTGGCGGTGGTGGCTGCCTGCGCTGCTGCTACTCCGCCGTTTCTTGGGGGGGGGAGAAAGAGCTCAGGCGCCCCGCCCCTGCACCCTCTCCCCAGTTGGGGGTCCCCCGCCGAATCTCTCCCCGCCCCCTGTGATGTGGATGCTCCCCCTGTGTCGAAATTAGTCCCCCGCCCCCCGATATCACACACTAGCTCACTCACTCAACCACCCACCCACTCAGAGTTGCTCAGGGTCAGGAACATCACTGAACTGAACCGGAATGATTCGAAGCCCTCCGTCTGGCCCTGAGGGTTAAGGCGGCTACAGTACCACACGCAGAGCTTTCACAAGCAGAAGTTGTTGACCCATGGGTCACACGTGCAAGCGCAAATGGGTTTTAGAGTTCGTTTCCGTCCTCCTCCTCCGCTTACGTCATTTTGTCCCTTGCCCCTCCCTGGTCCTGGTCCTGTCCCGGCGGGCAGGTGAGCCACCGCGAGTGGCTGTTCGCGCAGCAGGAGGGCCCCCGCTACCACATCTACCGGGTATTTGGAGTGGGAGGGGGAACACACAACCACCCCCCCAACGACATAACCCAACAGCAGCAGCACCAGCAGCAGCAGCCGCGGGTTCCTTCCCTTCCCCGGGTGGTCCGTATCATCAACCCGTACCTCCAGTGGCGCAGTGAGAGGGTGGGGATATGCCTGGCGCTCTAAGAGCGACTAGGGGGGTGGGAAGAGGGGTGGGAGGAGGGGTGGGAGGAGGGGTGGGAGGAGGGGTGGGAGGCCGTCCCAGGGGTCCTCCCATCACCCCCCTTGATCTGGGGGATCTGGGGGAATGAGCCTTCACGTGATGGCTCCGCGGCTCACTAGCGAGGAACCAGGCAGCGCGCGTCCCCGGGGCGGGTGACTTCCTGGTGCGGCATGTGGGCGTTGTACATATTGGTACATGTATGTATGTGTGTATGTGTTTGCCGTGCCTAGTCCCCCCTTCCGTTACCGCTCGGGTGTTATTCCCCCCAACGTCCGAAACCCGAAATATGTTAAATGTATCCCCCCGGGGGCCCGGTCGGTAAGCTACTGCTACTGGCTTTGGGTAGTGCGTGTCCATCCGAAGGTTCGGTTGTGCAGTTGTACGGCACGGCGCGTAATTCGATCATTGGCTTTACCTTAAATAACAACATGATGTGTTTATCTCGATGGCTGGGACAGAAACCGGCTGTGTTGCCTGTTTGTCTGTATCTATCTATCTATCTATCTATCTCTGTCGGTCTGCATGTATTTCTGTGCATCCATGGGGCCCCATGCTGTACGGCATGCGGGTGCGGTGGAAGAGAGCTGTACGGCGTGGTCCTTGGTTTCCGTGCGTGCTTGGCTTCATGGCATGTCGCTTCTGCGTGCCATGTACGACAGCACCGTACATGCTACACAACGACAAGGCGTTGTGACACGCATGACTAAAAACCTGACACACGACGCGTGACGGTGATGGTGTTGAATTCGTGTCGTAATCAAATGTGGTGCAGCTCGTTAGTGCAATGAAAGGAAGGGCTGCTGAAAGGTGCCATCAAACGGATTGAAGAAAGAACACAATCAAAGCGAGCCTGCAGTAGGCAAAAGTTTACGGGCGTAACGGCATGACGGTGCCTGCCGTACAGATAAATTGAGAAAACCTGCGGTGCAGTAAAGTACGACATGTATCCTCGTGTGTCCTGGTAACTGGCGGGACTTGGATTGACGGCCCAACGTGTGGAAGAGGACATTTTGATAAAAGCGATTTGACAGAGTTGCATGAGTTCAACGTAGTCATGCTTGACAAGTGCTGTCGGAGTTTGTGCCGAGGAAGGGCACAAAGGGTTCAGCGGTTCTGAAACACAGGGCCCCTGCTTAGCCATAACTCGGCAACTGCGTCGCATGAGTCGAAATCAAGTGTCCTTGCCGTCTGAAGAGATCTCCGTTCCGAGTCGCTATTGTTCAAGCTCATTGTCTGCCTTAGGGGGTTGATAGGATGCAGGTGCGGTGCAGGATAACGTATTTAATCAACGTCGAACACGATGTTTTTGTCGTCAATTGCCTACAATCGTGGCAGCTCCCTTGACAACGAAACCACGCGTGCGGCAAAGGTTGTCAAAGGCCGCATAAATTGTCCTGATCCTGGATGGCGTTTGAACAGTGTTACATTTCATGCCGGGATACTGTGTAAAGTGCTCCATGTCCTGGGCAATCCTCCTGTACCGGCGTTCATTGTCGCTCGTGTACAAGTCCTGACTTCTGCATTGCTCCAGCCGGGGTCGGCTCTGCAGCAGCCGGCTGCCCTCGATCTGGCGGGAAACGCAGTATGGGTTGGACGCTGCGCTGACAGCTGCAGACCTCCGGCGATGTGTTGCAGATCAGTACATGGCAGGCGACTGTATGTAAGACGCCGTTGCCTTTTTGTTTGCTGAGCCAGGTGCAGGGTGTTCAATTCACGTGGAATCTCCTGGCTCTAACAAGGGCTCGCCCCCCTCAACGACTCGTCGTTGACTTGTTTCGATTGTTACGACCTTTGCGAACTGCACGGCGCAGAGAGCCGGACGGCGCATGAACCGCATTATTATAGCAAAGAGAAAAGAAAGGTTGTCAAGCGGTACTAGTACAGAGAATATCGCCACCAGAAACAATCTGCCCGAAAACGTACTCCTTACGTCGAAAGGGAAGGTGGACAAGTCAAACAAAATAAAGGCGGGAAACGCAGTATTGGATGATGAAAAGTTTTCAGATTCTCGGGAAGGGGTGCGAACCCGTTTGCCGTAACATTTTTTCATATGTGTGTGTGATTGTTACAGTGGGCTCCAGACTCACGAAGAGCAGAGCCAGCGGGCCAGCCTCATATGTTTTAGCGTAATCCTCAGCATGCATGTCTGACGTCCCTGCCTTACTAGCAGTCCTTGAGCCTTAATGCCTTACCATCGAGCATTGAATAAAAAATTTTACACTGTGTACTTTCTAAACTAAAATCAACTCGGCAGGCGGTATGGCAACTTGCGGGACAACGATCGGCCGGCCCCTAACGCCCCGAGCAGGCCTCGCCCCTACCAGGCTGGCGGCGAAGGCCGGTCAGCCACAATCACGGCGCAACAGCAGGGTCATCTGGCGGGCTCGTCCGGGGTTTGCCGATAGGAAGCCGTCAGTAGCGCCGGGCATTTGCAGCAGCGGGCTCGGGGCATGGGATCCGTCGGTTGCAATCCTCTGGCACGAATAATACAAGGCCCCTCGGGTAATCGACGATTGGTAAACCCAAATCAGGATAAATAGCAAGCTGTGTGCTGAAAACATTAGCAGTATGCAACACAGAGATAGCATCTGAATTTTATTTACGAGGGCACGTGGTCGTTCGCGCATACTTGCAACTGCTTAATTTGCGACCTCGCTCGTCCAGCTGCTGCATCCTAACCCTAATTTCATTGAAGATGAGGACTCCTGACCGAATTGATTCCGTGGAGTTCACCAACAACAGCACACAAACACTGAAAGTCGCCACTTTCTACTACAACACCACTGGCACAACGGGGGTAAGTCTGTAAGGCAATCTGCTTGCCTTGTATTCCTCAGATTATGGTATGAGTTTCGTTAATTGCTGTAAGGAGTCCCGCACGAATAACCCTTTTCCTTTTTATTACTCGAAATCCTTACGTGCTTGCAGAAGTCGCTGCTGGTGGAAGCAACCATACAGCCTGGAAAGCGTTACCTGTTCCCAGCGAAGACGCAGACCATAACGACCTATACGGTGGGCACGTTGGTGAACATAATGACACAGCAATAATGTTGTACACCCAGCGCTGTTGTGTTTCTCACGGGACCAGCTGGGGTGGTGGGGGCAAGGGCAAGGGCAAGGGCCTGCGGGGTGGCCCCTGCCTCTCACCACTACGACAAAGGAAGGGTTATGTGGTTGAGTAGGTAATCGTGTAGTTGCGACAACACAAAAACGTGTTAACGCTGAGCCAGTATCTTCATTCATTATAATTCAGTGATCTTTATTCACCGATATACCTTTTCAGCGATGGCCAGCTACTAGTGGTAGGACAGTGGTACTGATTGAGGCACCTACCTACCTCCCTACCTACCTACCTACCTCCCTACCTCCCTACCTCCCTACCTCCCTACCTCCCTACCTCCCTACCTCCCTACCTCCCTACCTCCCTCCCTCCCTCCCTACCTCCCTACCTCCCTACCTCCCTACCTCCCTACCTCCCTCCCTCCCTCCCTCCCTACCTCCCTACCTCCCTACCTCCCTACCTACCTACCTACCTACCTACCTCCCTACCTACCTACCTACCTACCTACCTACCTACCTACCTACCTACCTACCTACCTACCTATATGCATCTTTCTGCTGATGGGAATGAAGAGACATACCATGCACACTTATACCAGGCACCAGCTCACACCAGCTGATTATCGACTGAGACATCCCATACCTTGCTTAAGGTGTCTTGCTTGAAATCGAGTCCCTTACATGTATACTTAGGCCATAGCATGGCTCTCAAACCCAATGGCCTCAACTCCTAAAACTCCCACAGTTGAGGAAGGAGTAAGCTACTATTTGCAGTAGCTGCTGGCCGCTGGAAATGCCTCTCAAAATGCTGGTGGAGCACTTTAGAATGTATTCATAGATGATGTGTGCACCATAGTGTACGACAGCCACGTTACTGTACTGCAAGTACGTGTCCTTTACATCCCATGTCCCCCTTCCCTTCCGGAACCTGTCAGATTAGGAACCTATCCATTCGTCGGGATATCTTTCCACTGAGTTTCAGCTGCCCCGCTCACTGTCCACTCACTGGTTTTGTTGACCTAGAGTGAACTCCATTGCGGCTTCTGCACCACCATCCCCCTCCGGTATGTGCCCACTACTTAATGAACCCCCTTTGGCGGGGCTTTTCTCCTGTTTGCAGGTGGTGATACCTGTGGTGCAAGTGGTGGTGAGGCTGGCTAACGGCTTGAGCGTGCTGGTGAACCCCACAGTGAGGGGTGTGGTGGGAATGTTGAAAGTGGTTGCAGGACCGGGCCCAAGTGACGGGCCCTCTGGAGAAGTGACGCTGACACAGACGGCGACACAGACCTGATCTTCCTATCCACCTGCCTTACCTACCTACCGACGGACCGACCTGCAAACAGTCGACTAGGGAGTGGTCGCTGCATGATGCATCTCGTGGCATATACTGTATGGGCATAGCTAGCAATGGATCGGCGGACTGCTGGGGCTGCATCGATGTTGTCGCTTTTGCTCCGACACGGAATGGAGGACGGCGGGAAGGGGAACCAAAGTTTGTTATTGTGGTGAAGGCAGATTCGCAAGGCAACCTTTGATATCTCCATCCAAATGTATGTTCTACATGTCTGATATCCGGTGTGTGTGTGTGTATGCATGTGAGATAGGACGGACTACTACAACATAGAAATAGTACTATACCGAATGCACCGTGGTGTATGTGTAAGTAGCGCCCACACATGGACACGGATGCAAGTATGGCCATTACCCCGACCATGGCATCACCCGGTGGGCTCATTTACCACTAAGTCGCCGGGTGCACCTAGTGGGCGGAATTGTTAGGTGGAAAGATTGTTATGTGGGTGACTGCGTATGTGCAAGACACGTGCATGGTGCTCCAGGTAGTTAAGGTTTGTAAAGCCATGACCCGTCAGCACCTCTTGTTATTAATTACCCTCGGTGTTAGGTTTTCTCGTTAGTTGTTAAGTCGTTCACTTGACTCGTGGACACGCATTTGGATTAGGGATAATGTACGACCTTTCGGCGCCGCCTAGGCTCTGGATAACTATTTAAGTCGTTGTTGTTGTTTAGCTTGTTATGTCATCGTTGTTGCATCTTGTAGGTTGTTAGCAGGCTTAAGTCGCTCGGCCAACAGTGTAACCATCTTGACATCCCAACCAGAACCGGAGTCCATTCCCTTTCAGTTGGTATCGATTTAGGCGATCCTGCCTACACGCTTCGCTGGTCATCTTCGTCATTGTCGTCGTTATCGAGAAGGGCGTCCCCGCTGGCGACGCCGCCGCGCAGGAGCTGGACCGCAAGGCTCACGCGGAAATCACTTTGAGATTGACCGAGAATGTGCTGGATTACTCCGACAGCAGCAAGACAGCCAAGGAACTATGGGACGCCATGCACCGGAGCTACTCAGCGAGCTGCAGCACTCGGCAGCTGTCATCGCAGCAAAGGTTCACGACGCTGAAGATGGCCGGCTCCGAGTCTGTGGTTGAGTACCTGTCGCGCGTCAAGAACGTTGTGAGCGAGCTGCAGGAAGCGGGTTCAGCATTGGCTAACGACAACAACGCCATCGTTCTGCAAGCTGTGCTAGGTCTAAGCAGCTCCTTCGAAGTGGCTCGACAACATTTGCTTATGGGTGCCATGCCTACTAATCTACTTGCTTTGGAGAAGGTTCTATTGCCGGTCGAGCAGGCGACCAAGAATAGTGCGACTACGGCACCCGTTGCCGTCGCCCTGTTCTCTCGCCAAAATACCGCTAAATGCTACAACTGCGGTAAAACCGGACATAAGGCGCGTTTTTGTAAGTCGCCTGGTAACTCCGGGGCGAGTACATCGACATCGGCAACTACTTCGAGAAATACGCCAGGAGCAAAATGTGGTTATTGCGGCAAAGACAACCACACAGAGGAACAATGCTTTAAGAAGAAACGCACTGAGAAGGAAGGCACGCAGTCCTGAGGGCCCTGACTCGAAGTCAGCCCCACCCTCAAAGATACTGCTTCTCTAGTACTGTGATGTTTTATTTGTTATATTCAAGATAACTGAACTGAACTTGAAAGGCGCCACCACAGTTGCCGGTGCCATTAAAGGACACCCGTCCTGGGACACAGGCTCAGGCACAGAAATAGACTTAAAGGGTTACATAAAACATAGCTATAAGCGTAAATAAACAAAATGTCTGACACCGAATCACATAGCTCTATAGGTAGTGATGATTCGTGGTATGGCCAGCTCGTTGCCGGCAGCGACAGCGGCAGCGCCAGCGACACGGCTTCGGACAGTGACAGTATGTCCGATACTGTCGTCCGTGGCGCTGGCGCAGCAGGACTGGTCGCGGGCACCGGTGTTGCTGTCGAGCACACCGGGGCGCAGACCGCCGCACAGGGCGGGGCACCTCCACCCCATCCGGACCTGCCAGCATTTGCTGCGTTGGCGCGTCCACTGGCCCACCCGGGGCCGACTGCGCCGATATCTCTAGTATCGCCCACCATCAGAGCCAGGAAGGTGTTATTCAACATCAGCTCGAACAGCGTGGGCACATGCATGGGCTTCAGCTCCAGCCCACGGCAGCGTGTAAACTTCGCAATGACACGGTACAAAGGTGGCCGGTACGTTGCGCCAGCAAACCTAAGGGTAGATCCACTCGGCGGGCAACCCCGCCGAGAACTACAGCGCGACGTGAATGCACGGCAGCCCGTACTCGTCGTCAAGGGGGAGTATGTCAGTCGAGTGGGGCTGGTTGCGTTCACCGCCAGCGTGGAAAGCGCATGAGGGGCTACATCGCCTGTCTCAGCGACAGCACATGTACGTGCCGTGTCGCGGTGGTGGGCATCGTTTGCTCCCACCTTCGTGCCGTATACCAGCTGCACGGTGGTGGTTGCGTCGGAGCACAGGAGCGCATCGTGGCGGGCGCCCTTGTCGCCCTCCAGAACGTGGGTCAGTTGGTGACGGTGCTGCCACCGGATGCCGTCCTCTTCCGCAGCCTGTCCCGGACATCTCGGGACGCTGGGATGGAGAAGCCCGCCGTGTGCCAGCTGCGCGCTACCGTGACTTTCCGAGACGACGTGATTGTCTGCTCCTGCCCCCTCTTTGCTGCACACGGGATGTGCATGCACAGCGCAGTTGTCAGCAAGGCGCTTCCGGAGAACTGGCGGGCCTACGCACGTGGCGACAGCCGGCACCAACGACCCGTCGTCTATGCTGGGCCCGTGAGTGAGGCGGACCTGCGTTTGTTGGTACATTCTCTTCCCCTCGCCGCCTATGAGGCGGAGGTCCGGACCATGCCCCCGGTTGAGAAGTGGGCGCCCGCGCCAGGCAGCCTGGAGGGCTGCATGCACATCGGCAAGGCAGAGGCGCGTCTTATGCGGGAGCTTGCACAGGGTGCAGGGCGCTATGAGGGGCCCGCGGTGATGTGCACCACAGCCAGTGTGCTCTTTGACGGCACGCGGCGCGGTAAGGCTCGTGACTTGTGCTCCCAGTTGGATGCTTTGCAGCAGGAGCTGACGTCGGGGGAATGGGCGGAGTTGGAGAGCAGCATGGATCACATACTGGGCATTTTGGCGCGGAGGAGGGAGGCAGCCACAGTGGCGGGGCGCCCCGTCACAGTGGCAGAGTGGCCCCGTGTGCCTCGTCACCTGGAGCGGAACACCAGCAGCAGTGGTGAGGGCCTCGTCGCCTCGCCAGAGGCGCGGGCGGCCCGTCCCACGGACCGGCGGCGCCTCACAGACCGCGTGGTTAAGCCCCTGCAGGGTGGGCGTCGGCGGCGGCAGCGGGACGAGCCGGGCATGAACACAAAGGAGGAGGAGGAGGCTGGGAGTGGGGCCGAGGTCGGAGGCGAGCTGGCGCCCGCCAGGGGGCCGGGTCGGAAGAAGAAGAGGAAACCGGCGACACGTGGGGCATGACGCGGATCGGGTTTGATTGGCTGGAAGCGTGGCATTGCTGTAAATTAGCTCGAGTGTTACAGGGGGGCAGGATTGACAAGAAGAAGTCCCTGCATGAAGGGGAACTAGGCCTGTAATTTACCATGACATATATAAGCACCTGCTCGAAGCCAGAACTAATCATTCTTTGAAAATCACCACCGCTCGTACGTGTCTCTTCGTCGCTTTCTTTTTCCGTTGGGGGGTTGAGGCCACGCCGGGTCCGGGGGATGGGGAGCGGGAAAGCGGGGATGTTAGTTGCCGTGCCGTGCCGTGTCGTGTTGCGTCAGGGCAGCCAGCGTGTCTTCCGGATCTATCGTATCTTGTCGCGTGTGTATAAGTGTATGTATGTACGTATGTATGTATGTGTGTGTCGTTCGTGGTCTGAAAGGACCCTCAGTGAAGGTTACGGTGCTGCCATGATGGGCCGTACGAGTTCGCTGCCGTGCGGCTCTTTCTCCGGAAACGCAGTTTCGGTGCTCCCTACAAGGTAGAAGGGATGCCAGAGGAAGGGGAGGGGGGAAATGGGGCTGTGACAGCTCTGGCTGGCTGGCGGGCACATCGTGGTACAGGGACGTTTATACTGCAGAAGTATGGCAGGATGTAACATGCAGAGGACAATGAGCGCCAATGTCTCTGTTTGTGGCTGCTTGTAAGCTGACCGGTATTTGCGCTCATCGGCAGGGCCCCGGGCGACAGGCCTGCCCCCGCTGGCGCCGCGCGCGCGGACTCAGCCGGCGGAGACGGGCATCGGCGCGGGGACGGCTGGCATGGCGGCGGTTCAGTTGGAAGACGATGAGGACTACTGTGTTATTGTGGAGTAGTCATATAGATGTGTGTATGTTTGATAGCTGTGTTGAGACATTAGCCCCTTTGTGTTTTTAGAAACTCAACCGCGAGCGAGGGTGTTGACCGGCGAGCCGTTATCCCCGTTTTTGTTTGTTTTACCAACATGTGTTTTGCTTTGCTGTTTTGTGACGATGGCAAACTTTACTGACATTGCGTCGCGCGACGCGTGGTTTTCGCGATGCAAGCAGATGGCTCGGGTCCAGGACAAGCTCGATGGCTTTGTTTATTTACGCTTATAGCTATGTTTTATGTAACCCTTTAAGTCTATTTCTGTGCCTGAGCCTGTGTCCCAGGACGGGTGTCCTTTAATGGCACCGGCAACTGTGGTGGCGCCTTTCAAGTTCAGTTCAGTTATCTTGAATATAACAAATAAAACATCACAGTACTAGAGAAGCAGTATCTTTGAGGAAGTACATGAAAGCGGTACCAACTAACTCCAGGGTGGGGCTGACTTCGAGTCAGGGCCCTCCGGTCGTCTTGCAGAAGAAAATCTCCGAGGTGTACGGAAAAAGGGTTACGTCTTTATCGAGGCGCCTGTCGTCATCTCTGCACGCGTGTTAAGAAGTCTGGCATTGGAATTCGAGACGCCGTTGCTCCCGCAGATGGCGACGCCGACGACAGCTGGGTGCTGGATTCTGGTTCCCAGTACCACATGTCCCCCGATTCTTCGTGTCTCTGGAACTACCAGAGGATCGATGGTGACATGTAAGACGGTAAGTCTTGAAGGCTAAATGGATCGGACGCAATAGTGATTGCCAGAGCGTTTACAAAGCGACTAACGGCTCAGCTCAGCCACAACTCACTACTCTAGAAGCATGCCAGACCAAAGATAATTGCTGGCTCATTCCTATTTATTCACGAGTTCGACAGTCGATCAGCAAGTACGGAAGATGGCTCCACTCTATCCAGAAACCAAGTATCACGCAAGCACCAGGCGACAAACTGACCGGACAATATTTTCCTCAACACTCCCACGCGGGCAGTCTGCAAGCCTGTTCGACTATCGCACTCCCATAGCCAAACGAAATCGCTTGAACATCGCATGACTCAACGGTTTCGTCATGCAATCGGCGACCATATCAGCCGTACCACAATAACGAAAGCAAACCTCAACTCGCTCTCGTACGAAGTGGTGAGTGACATCTATATGCTTGGTTCGCACCGAAGAACCAGGATTCTCGATAAGAGAAATAGCTGCCTTATCATCGCACGCTATGCTGACGCAGTTAGCATCAACCCCCAACTCCAGGAACAATTGCCTCAACCACAAAGCTTCTCGTGTAGTGGCTGCGGCAGCCATGTACTCAGCTTCAGCAGTTGAAACTGCCACAGTAGGCTGGACACGACTGGACCAACTAACAGCCGCGTTCGAATGCAAAAACACAAAGCCAGTGGTCGACCTCCAGGTATCAGGGCAACCAGCGTAATCAGCATCGGCAAAGCCCTGCAGGCCACCGTTCCCTTTGAACACCAAACCAAGATCGCGCGTACCGGCCAGATACCGCAAAACACCCTTAGCCGTCAAAAGATGGTCTTTGGTGGGTTTCGACATATGATGTGCGAGCGCTCCCACGGCCTGAGAAATATCCGGCCTAGTACCAGACTAAAGATACATAAGTCCGCCCACTAGCTCGCAATACTCGTTGCCCACAGACTCATCCCCCTCTTCAGCAACACGAAGCTGAACTCCAGGTGAAAGCGGTGTAGCGCGACTGTTGGCATCAGCAAAACCAAATTTCGACAACAGGCCTTCAGTGTACTTCCGCTGTGACAACTTCAGCCACTTCTCATTCATGCTTCTTTTGATCTCCATACCAACGAAACGATCAACAGGCCCTAGGTCTCTCATCTCGAAAACCTCCATCAACCGTCTTTTCACCTCGTTAACCAATTCTTGACATTTAGCAGCCGTGAGGGAGTCATCCACGTTGATCAAGAAATAAACACGATCATCCCCCTCGCCACGGACAAACATAGCAGGATTGGCAGCAATAGGCTTGAAGCCCATCTTCCTCAACTCCTCCTTGAGCTTAACATACCACGCTCGTGGAGACTGCCGCAGACCGTAAAGCGACTTGTGAAACAAACAAGCATCATCAGGTCCACCAAGGTCATAGCCTGGCGGCTTGCTGCAAAACACAGGCTCCTCTAATAAGAAACGCGGTCTTGATGTCCATCTGGGTTCTGTTTTAATAATAGATTGGATGGACATCAATCTGTTTTAATAATACTTCCATCTGTTCCAGAACTAGACCACGCGCAGCAACAACAGAAAGCAGAGCATGAAGGGTGGTGTGCTTTCCCACCGGCGCGAATACCTCATCAAAATCTATCCCTTCCTCTTGACGAAAACCTTGCGCTACTAAGCGTGCACGATAACGTTCAATGTTTCCATGCTCATCCCGCTTACGCTTGAAGATGCAAATGAGAGGAATGGGTGTAACTCCAGGTGGAGGCGGTTGTAGTGTAAACGTATTATTGGACAATAGCGCTTTAACTTCCTCATCACCCGCAGCCTTCCAGTGACTAGCATCAGGACGACTAAGAGCTTCTTCAACGATTTGGGCTCTTCATCAATATTAACAGCACCCAAAGCTAACGCCACATCACAGTACCTAGCAGGAGGAATACCCAAGTTGCTTCTTGTAGATCGCCTAAGTCCCTCAAATTCAACCGAAGGTACAAGTGGAACTGGAGGCGCATGTGGCACAGGAGGCGCAGGAGGTGAAGCAGCAGATCCACTGGTAACCTCTCCCCCCCGCCCTCCGAAGCCGACACTGGGGCGGGTGGAGAAGGACCTGACGAAACGCTACCACTAGGGCTCCCACGCACTTGAACGGCGGTAACCCCACTAGGTGCCGGCTCGTCACCGGATTAACATCTTCTACTCGGTTTTGCACCTCGTCATCGGAAGCATCATCCCATAGCGATGTAAGCACAGATTCCTCATCAAATTTAACGTCCCTACTTACTACTACTCTATCGAGCTCGGGAACAAAGACACGGTAGGCCCTAGAACCGGCCTCGTATCCTACGAAAATGCCTGGCGACGCAACTTTATCAAGCTTATCCCTATTTTGCTTAGGAATGTGTACGTACGCTACACAACCAAAAACACCAAAAACACGCAAATCGGAGAGGTCGGGCTTAGAGCCGAAAAACAGTTCGTAAGGGGTATTAGGCAAATCATTAGAGACCTGTTTCGCAAATAATTAGCAGTAATAACAGCATTGCCCCAAGAAGATTTGGGCAAATCGGCCTGAAAAAGCATCGCGCACACCTTCTCCATCAACGTGCGATTAAGACACTCTGCTGATCCATTTTGCTGTGGCGTGTATGGAGCGGTTGTCTGATTAATAATGCCCCTATCCTTGTACCACGCTGCTAATTCCGCGTTAAGATACTCCCGACCCCTATCTGTACGAACAACCTTAGTCTTCCCTCCGCACTGATTTTCCAACATAGTCAGCGTCTCCTTCACACAACTTGCCACCTGATCCTTTCGCAACAGAAGGCAAACAACTGACATACGTGAAAAATCGTCCAAAAACGTAGCAATATATGAATGGCCATCACGGGAGGTGACAGGAAGCGGACCACACACATCCATATGTACCAAAGCCAACTTCTTGTCTACACGATTTCCACTAGAACCGAATGGCGACACATGTGCCGCATACCGACTCACCCTCTACACGAAATTCCTTCGCCGGTACATCGATCCCGGTGACCATACCACCGTCAACCAGACGAGCCAGGTTCCGAAAGCTCAGATGACCGAGCCGGCAGTGCCAAAGATAGGCATCGGACACAGACCTGGATGAAAACGCATTGACTGGCGTGGGGGGTTCAGGCAAAATCATGGTACCCTTCAGGCGGTAAGCTCCCCGAGAATAAGGGAAGCTATGAGACCAGGTACCGTCACTACTCCTGACAACAGCCTTAGGTGCCCGCAGAGGTGGACAAATACTAACGGGTGTAAACGAGCTGGCAGGAAACCTTCTCGCGAATTCCAACTCTCTGGACTATATGAGAGTCTTTGTTCGGAGCTTCCGTAAATCCCTCAAATTCCACACTTGCTCCTTTCTCAACGAGAACACGGACAGACAACAGACGGTGCTTGAATCGGGAACAAGAAATACACCGGTAAACTCCAAAACACCGGTAAAGTCGCCTACCGTAGTTCCAGAGACATGTAGAATCGGGGGACATGTGGTACTGGGAACCAGAATCCAGCACCCAGCTGTCGTCGGCATCACCATCCGCGGGAGCGACGGCTTCTTGAATTCAGACACCAGACTTCTTGACTACAGGCGGTGTATCGATGCGTGCAGATATGACGACAGGCACCTCGAGCGCCGAGAAAGATGTAACCCTTTTGCCGTACACCTCGGAGATTTTCTTTTCCGTGCGCTTCTTCTTGAAACATTGTTCCTCTGTATGGTTATCCTTGCCGCAATAACCACACTTGGCGCCTGGCGTATTCCTTGAGGTGGTTGGACTCGCCCCGGAGTTACCAGGCGATTTACAGAATCGCGCCTTATGTCCGGGTTTTCTGTAGTTGTAACATTTAGTGGTATTGCGAGAGAATAGGGCGACGGTGACGGGATCCGTAGTCGCGCTATTCTTGGTTGCCTGCTCGACCGGCAACAAAACCTTCTCCAGAGCAAGTAGATCAGTAGGCATGGCACCCATAAGCAAATGTTGTCGAGCCACTTCAAAGAAGCTGCTAAGACCTAGTACCGCTTGCAAAACAATGGCGTTGTTGTCCTTGGCCAATGCTGAACCCGCTTCCCGCATCTCACTCACAACGTTCTTGACGCGAGACAGGTAGTCAATCACTGACTCGGAGCTGGCCATCTTCAGCGTCGTAAACCTTTGCTGCGATGACATCTGTCGAGCGCTGCAGCTTGCTGTGTAGCTCCGGTGCAAGGCGTCCCAAAGTTCCTTGGCTGTGTTGTTGCTGTCGGAATAA